ACTCCAGTTGGGGTGACATGTGTACTACGCTGGCAGGCCGCTGGGCCTGACCCGCCAGTCTGTCCCAGGTCTGCTTACCTTGCAGGCGCGGGTGGCGGTTCTGCCCTGCCCCTCCTACCACGCCCGCGTACCACTGGTTCGCTTGTCTACTCACCTTGTGGGCGCGGGTGGCGGCTCCGCTCCGCCCCCTCTCCAGTTGGGGTCACGCGACCACCACGCCGGCGAGCCGCTGGGCCTGCACCGGGCGCGGGAGGCGGCCCGGCTCCTCCCCTCTGGCTCGAAGACAAAGCGAGAGAGACTCGGGTGTCTGTGACTCACCCTCCCTACCAGGAGACCAACTGTTTCTGTCGCCGCTGGTATTGATGAAGTTCTCTCCTCCGCCGCTTTCTGATGACATCAGACCTCTGCCATGTTGGTATCCTATGCGAATGGCAGCATTTCGTTCCCTTTGCTTGGTGACCAAAGCAACGGGTGAGTCCTGACCGGCCCTCACAGGCCCCGTCTCAGTCCTGTTGCCACTGCCCACGAAGGCTCGGTTGGTATTTACCTCCACAGTACTCAGCAGTTCCCGGACAGAGAAGCCGTTTCCACGGGCTCCTTAGCCCTGGGCCAGAGCAATTCCGGGAGCCGGAACTCAGCGCTCCGTGCTCGGTGTATGCTCTGATAAGAGCATGCTCCAAGAAGCAGTTTCCGCGGGTTATTTATCACTGAGCCTGAGTAATCTGTCTGCAAGCCGCAGGCAAATGGCAGCCTGAAATTACCTGTTCTATGGCTGAATGAGCTGCGGTCAGTCGAAAACAGGGATGGTGACGTCAGCTCTCCAAGATGGTGGCCGCTGGCCTCCTCTGTGGTCTGACCAGTGTGGAGAACCGAATTGGACCGCTTCCTTCCCCCATCTCGAACCCAGAATTCAGCACTGAGTACGGTGCTTCGACGGATGGCAGAAACTGCAGCGCTGAATCCCTGCGTTGCTATCTCCTCGTTTCCCAGTGCGCGCTGCATACTCTAGCCGCGGGGCGATTTGCTGAATAAGCAGTGTTACCCTCCGTGCGACAAATCTCTCTTGTTTGAGTCCCCGTAGCCGATCCTCGTGCGATGGAAATCCTTCCTCCAGGTTCCGGAGCACCCCACTATTGCTGGAAATTCTTAATAAGAAACCCTTTAGCCTTCCTGACTCGTCATTCTCCCACACAGTGACGCGGCACACGGGGGCAATGCACTCCCCTCGCCGCCATCTTCCGAGAGAGAGAATTTTTAACGTTTATTTTTTAGTTATCGGCGGGTACAACATCTTTGTTTGTATGTGGTGCTGAGGATCGAACCCGGGCTGCACGCATGCCAGGCGAGTGTGCTAGCACTTGAGCCACATCCCCAGCCCCAGTATTAAAGATTTTCAACCATGGTATACAATATAAACAAATTTGGGTGTGGATGTAGTAGAGGTTTCCTACTGGTGTGTCAGGGCACATGATTTTGAATTGGGTACAGGTAGGCTGGAATACTATTCTAGTTTATTTAAGCAAAACTAGTACTTTTGATGATTGCCTGTATAAAAAATGATTCATTGAAGGATTAAAAATGGTAGAGAATATTCTATTATGTGAATAAAGGACAGTTGTCTGAGGCCAAGGACTGCTTGAATCCTCAAGTAATCTCTTTTTGGTCACAGCAGACTTGTCCATTTACTTCAGTGTGCCTTATAAATATTAAGATCTTCCACATGAGCATGGTATAAAAAAAGCTATAGAAACATGGGTATAAAATAAGGAGAAGACCATTTAGATGTGTTTTGTGGTAGACTTGGCCATCAGTTATTGAACTTTATGATATCAGTATGTCTTCATGCTATTAAAAGTTATTGAGGACTCCAAAGAGATTTTGCTAATGTTTATGTCTTGAATGTACTGTAAATTAAAACTGAGTAAAATTTTAAAATATATGTGCTTTGACTTTCACAAATATTAAGCCTATTAAGAGTTAGCGTAGTTGGATGAAAGTTAACTATGTTTTTCCATACTAGAAAACTTAGAAAGAAAAGTAGTGTTATTTTGCATTCTCTCTAATGTATGATTTAATAAAAAATAGCTAGAATCTCATATCTGGTTCTGCTTTCAATTTGCTATAATATATATTTTGGCTGAAGTGTACAAAGGAAACCCAGCCTCACATAGACATGTAGTTAGTAAAGGGAATAATATCTTACTTTTTTTTTTTTTTTTTTTTTTTGGCAGTGTTAGTGATTGAACTCAAGGTCTTATGCATGCTAGGCAAGCATTCTGCCAGTGAACCAAATTCCAACCATGAAAAGGAATGATATCTTAAAAGCCTTTTAAAATAGTTATTTGTATTCTTTCTCGATATATTAAAAGTTGACAAATGGTAGTTTCTTACAGGTCAGTTATGGTGAAAATATGAAAGTACGACAATGAAATTTTTATGAATTGTTTCACTAAAATCTGTTTGTCTTCTCATTTTACTGGCATCATATGTGATATTATGAAAAATAATTGATTCAGTGAATTATACCTGTATTCCTAATGTAGACACTTTCATTATGTAATATTACAAATAGTACTAATTCATTGCTGTCACCACTGATCTCATCAGAGAAATCTTTAAATTTTAGAAACTGATCAGGTTTTCATTGGTGAATACAAGTTTTCCAAAATTTTGATTTTTCTCTTGAAAGCTTGAATTTTATCACTGGCAGCAAATATTTCCAGTTCTTTTCCTTGGTATAGCAGGGTCACTTCTTTGATTTTTAAGAAACTGTCAAATATGTTAGTCTGAATAACCAGACTAGAGAAGACTTCATTCATTCTCTCATGTCAAAATGGTGTTACATGAAATTATGTGACTATCACTTATCTTTCATATATTTCATTGTATACTGTTGTGTGGCAGATGTGATTTTAAACATACTTCATTTGTCAGTGTTTTGTTCAGCAGATTATTTAAAAAGATATGTGCTTTTTTGAGATTTAAGAAATTAGTAGTTATTACTTTACTTAATGGTATTCTTGAGTGAAATTGGCTCTTGTGTTTATAACTGTGCTTACATGACAGTTTGATACCACTGGCTTTATTTGTGCAAACCTTTCCCCCATTGATTTTGCAGCATCAGTGCAAATATCAACAGTGAAAAAGGTACATAGCATCCAAATATTGTTACAAAAATAGTGTTGACTTTATGGACCCCTGAAGAGTCTCAGAGACTCATTCCTTGGATTCCACATTCTGTATTTTATGGATGAGTTATTCTTTGAAGGAGTCTGATGAGAAAGGGCAAGAGAGAATATTAGGTTTTCTTTTATGATTGGCTTTGTCTTTGTCTTAATCCGTCATTATCATATACTACTGTTGTATTTGGGTGTGTAGGATGATGTCACAAGTTTTATTTTTGCTTTCATATTTCTTATGTTTTACTTGTTTTTTATAGATACACATGATAGTAGGGTGTATTTTCATATAATTATATGTACATAGAATAAGTATAACTTGTTCCAATTATGATCTCATTATTGTGGTTGTATATGATGTGGAGTTACATTGGTTATGTATTCATATATAAGGGTAGGAAAGATGTCTGATTTATTCTGTTGTCTTTTCTACTCCCATCCCCACCTTCCCTTCATTCTCTTTTGTCCAGTCCAGTGAACTTTATTTTTCTTTTGTCTATTTTGTTTTGTTTTGGGGATGAACTCAACCAAAATATTCTTTTAGAAATTTTTAAAATTTATTAGCTTCATTTCTTATCTTTATATTTCCTAGTGTATCTTTTGTGGACAATATATCAATTTCTGTATTACAACAGTTTTCTAGAAAACAGTCAAAGGTGTTACCATAGTATAATGGAAATTCTTTATGACTGGATTCATATATGTATCATTTTAAAACTCTGTTATTAGCTGTGTAACATTAAGCAATTTACATAAACTTTCTAAAGCTTAATTTTCCTAAGGTCAAAAGTAATAACAGTATTTAATTTGAAAAGTTGTTCAGAGCATTTGTTAGATAGAATTAGCAAGTGATGATCATAATATCTCTCCTACAATAAATGTTCAATAAATGTCATAAATGCTCAATAAATGCTACTGGTATATTTAGAATTACTAGATAAGTGCACCCTTAATTCATTCTGTTTCTTCTATTTTATTTTTCCTTTTGTACACATAATTCATTGTTTAATATCTCATATATACACAGCATGAATTTTTATCTTATGATTTTATTTGTGTTGTTTCTTTGATAGCAGAATTTGGTTAATGTAGCATAGTCACATGCAAAATTAAAGTATACCATTTTGAAAAGGAAGAAGTAGTATATATTCCGAGATCATACTTGAAGAAATCTAAAGCATTTCTAGAGCAGTTATATAATATGGTTATATAATTCAAAATCTCTGACCTTTTACACTGATTCTATGACTCTGAAATCAGCTTAGTTTTTTTGGCAGCAACTGCCTAATAGACTAAGATATGCATGGGAAATTTATATAAAATTACATAAAGCATTTGTGCACTGTGTTTGAGATATAAGATTTATTAAATGTTTAAAATACGTGTCAAATGTTGGCTAATAGTCACAATTCTCTAAAACACTCATATGGTTCTTTGACTCTAAAATATAGAAAGATATAAAAACACTAGCACTCAGCTGTACTTGGGAAAACCAGAATTATATGATAAAAAGCAAATTAAGTTAATTTTAGAGTTTTATTTCTTTATGCCAAAGAAAAGCCAAGCACTAAAATTTGTTATTCTGTGACTTAGAGTTATGGCTTCAAACCATAATTATTTTTAAACATTAAATGATAATTTTTAACAGTATAAATGCATATAACCCCTTAACAATGTGAAAATGTAAATTTTTTTACATTTTCTAAATTTTGAGGGTACTTTTATGTTATATTAATTTGACTGCCTCTGTTTAGTAGAGTGTTAATAACATGAACAAGTTAATTTGAGGTAACAGGTATTTTATTTTTCTTTTTGTATAAGTTATTTGAATTGCTTGGACCTGAAGGACTTGATCTTATTGAGAAACTTCTCCAGAACAGAATTACAATTGTGGATCGATTTCTTAATTCTTCAAATGATCATAAGATTCAAGCTCTTCAAGGTAAGAAAGTATGTAGTGGTAATACTAATTTAAAAGAAAGATTCATTGGTTAACCAATTTTAAAAATATAATTACTTTTTTTATCCTTTGGACATTTTTATAGTTTACTGATATCATTCTCTAAACTAGATTTTTAGGTATGGTAGATTATGAAACAAGTGTAAATGATCTAAATAGGAACATATTGCAGTGTTTGGGCATGACATTGTTTTGTAAAAGGTAGAAGTACTTACAATAGATAATTTGTAAAGCAAACACATGTTGTATTAACTATGGATCCAGTGTTATAATTTCTCCCCAAGTTTTTGTTTCCAAAACTTTCAAATCCATAGTAAAGGTATAAGAATAATACACACTTACATAACCTTCATGTATTTTCACTAGTCATTAACAGTTTGTTTCACCTGGCCCTTTTTCTAAAGATACACATACATTACTGAACAATGATAGGAAGTTTCAGACATCATGATACTTCATCTATAAAATATTTAGCATCTGGGCATGATGTGACACACCTGTAATTCCAGTGACTAGGAAGACTGAGAGACTGAGGCAGGAGAATCTCAGGCTTGAGTCTAGCAGCAGCACCTTGGGAAGACCCTATCTCAAAGAAAAGGTTATAAAAGGGTGGATATGTAGCTTTGTGGTAAAGTGCCCACGTATGTATGAATGAATGAATAAGTAAATAAATAAATTGTCTTCAGAATATATCTAAGAACACGACAGCTTCTACTTAACTGCCCTGCAGTTATCACACTCAGAAAATTGCATACCGATAGTGTCATGTATTACATGTATTTTAAAAACCCAGTAAAATAAAAAACAGGTAGGAAGCCAAAATTATTTTTAAAAAAATAACTAACATATGACACAGTGATGCTGGATTCAGGTTTTAAGTGATAAGCAGGAAAATTAGATTTTTTTTAACCTTTACTCCAATGTACTTTGCTAACCTTACGGATAGTTTGAGATTAAAAAAAGTGAATGAACGCAAGAAATTAGATACCTTGAACATCTGTCTATGTTGGCTTTTCTTATATATAAGTTATTTGATTTTTTTTATGTTTATGCCACTGTAGGAAACTATAAACAGACTTCATCTAAATAGCCTTTAAATCCAAAATATTTTGTGAATTTCCTTTAATACTGATGAATGTTCTCAGAAGCCTGGAGCTTTGAGATTGTTAGAATTTCCAAGATTGGATTTGAGCAACTTTATCTTTCTGCAAGTGTCTTGGTTCAAGTTATTTGAATAGTTCTAAACTTCCTTGCTCCAAGAAGGCTCTGGGCTATAGGAAAGTGCATAGTCAGACTCCATGCAGTAACCCATCAGGGTTTAGGAGCTTTTAAAATTGGTGTTTGCCAGAAGAAAGGGACAGAGTTAAATATCAACTCCTGTGAAGATGTAAATTCTGAGAATTTGGTATTTCTTTTGTCATTCTCCTAAATGTTATTATAGAGATATTTACTGATTCTAACTCTTTTTTAAAAAAAATTAATTTATTTGATTTGATGTGTTATGATTACATTTAAAATAGGACTTGTTATCCAGATTCATAAACATAAATCCATTAATCTTTGGTTCCAGCTTTATTAGTATATTAGCACTGATTTATTAATAGAAAGTTAAAGATGAATCCAATGTTACATTTATTTTTTTGGAAGCTTTAGATGATGAGTTAGGAGTTTTGTCTATGTTCATTCTATTTATTTTACAAATTTTATTCTATTAATATAACTTATTAGAAGCAACACAGTTTTATAATGCAAAATAAGTACTAAATTTAAATATATTTGAGTCCTGAAATGATTTTTTACTTTTCTCAAATAGATTTTACTCTCATATTCCATAGTAGATCATTATTAAATATTGCAACTATTTAAGAATGATGAGTATGCACTAGAAAATTTGAGGCATTTAAATGAATAAATAGTGTTTTTTTTGTTTTTTTTTTAAGGACTACAATGTAGAACTTGAAAGGTAGCATATTTTTAAAAAATTTACTTCGGTAGGTTTATGTTGTATTTGCATTAAAATTATTTTCCTTAGATTTTTGTTGAAGGAAAAGAAGAATCTTTATACGCTTGTTACTTTACCAGTGTTCCCAATTTGTGTCTATATTTTGATGTTTTGCATTTAGGGATCCTTCAAAATTCTCTCATAACTACCAAATTGTACTTTTTCTTTATTAAGGTACCTTAATGAGCCCATTATTAACCATATTCTTTTTTGTATTCTCCAAAACCATTGTCTTACAGAGCAATGACTTGTTTTTTTTTTTTAAATCTAGCATTTTCTAGATTTCAGGCTAATTTTATTTGAGTTTTTTCATGCAGACATCTACCTTACTCTGCTCTATTCTTACAGTCAGTAAGTGTAAGGTGAATGAGAAGTGACATGAGTGAATGAGAAGTTGATCTCTAAGATAAAGATAGTTTGTGTATTAAATTCTGTCTTCAGAGTTGGTATAGAGAATGTATTATGAAAAAACTTAGTTCATAATATCAAGTGACAATATTTTGAGTAGTTATACAGGATTTTTCTGTTATATTTACATTTTAAAAGGATATAATCATCTATATAGTTCTTCAGTAAAATTTTTTGTTAGTATTTCCATTAAGGTTATTTCATTTCTGCTTGTCATTTGCGACAGTTGGCCTAACCAAACAAGAAAAGCCATACATTTAAGCTTTTGCTGCTTTACTTTTTAAATTATGTTTAGTCTTATAGGAATCTAGTATATTTTGATTGAAACCTTATAAATCTTTTAATGAGGCATTGTATTTTCTTATAATTTTAATTTTCTTATTTGGATGATTGTAAGTATATATAGTAGTATTTAATTACTGTCACATTTGCTTAAAATGTTAATGACACCAGTATATAGAATTTAGTATGTCATCCAAAGGGGTTTCACACTTTAAAATGTTTAACTCTGGTTTCTGATAAATAAATGGCATTACTCAAATTTTATACATTCTGCTTAACATATGTATTGTTGATTGAGTGGCTTTGCAGACAATTTCACTTTTCTTTTAGTTAAGAGTATGTGTAAAAACTGTCAGAATGCCTCATTCTTTTTCTGACACTGAAATTTAATCATAAATTTATTAAGTGCATAAGACTTCCTTAGAAATAAGAAATAAAATAAATATAAGACTTAAATAAAATAAATGTAAGACTTAAAAATGAAAATAGTTTTTCAGAATTTTAAGTTTTAATCCTAATATACATGGGCTTATACTTCATTTTGTAATTTTGAGACATACTTTCCTTTTTAGGGAACTATAGTGGGGGTTATTTCATGTGATTGATAGATAAATGACTCATTAAAATTCTTTACACAAAATACATATACGATGGTGTGAGGGGGAAGGGGGAAAAAGGGATGAAAAGTGTCACGGTAGATTGGGTAGAGAGAGGTGATGGGAAGGGGAGGGAAGGGGAGGGGGGATAGGGAGGGCAGCAGAATACAACAGACACTAGTATTGTTGTATGTATATACATGGCTGTATAACCAATGTGATCCTGCAATCTGTGGAAAAATGAGAATTCATATCCTATTTGAATCAAATATATGATATGTCAAGATCATTGTATTGTCTTGAGCATCTAATAAAAAAATTCTGTAAGGAGGCTGTAATATTTGAATATTTGACTTAGAATGAATTAGATAACAAATTTTCCTATCTTGGTACTGTGTTTAATTCCTTCTTTTTTCAGAATTGCAGCTTAGAATTTGATAAAGTAACCTGGGCTGTGCTTGGCAGAGTATTAGCCAAGTCTTGTATTGTCTTCCTAGCTTAGCAATAGTGCCTAGGATGTAGTATCCTCAGTAAAATAAGCTTACTAACTTGGATCCTGTTGGAAGAAAATTTGTTCTGAATATTGAGTTGACCAAACCACAGATCTAATTTATACTTTGTAGACATTGAGTTTTGATCGACCTGGTACCCCTTAGTGACTCTGACCTTCTTGCCTTCTTTTAAAGGCCTTTATTTTCATGAAAAGGTAGACTTTGCTCTTGCTGTATTTGTTTTGTGAAGTATGTTCTGCACTTATGTTTATTTCAGTATGAATAGTTACATATATACAAGTTAACTGAATAAAGTGTATTACATAGGAAAAATTATTTAATATATAATTTTATTTTAGTGTTATCTAACAGTGCTAATTAGTATTAATAATTATTTTTTAAATTAATATAAACAAGTTATTTCAAAATCACAAAATTGGATTTCAGGCTCCTGATTTTTTTAAAATTTTTTTTTTTGTTGTAGTTGGACACAATACCTTTATTTTATTTATTTTTTTATATAGTGCTGAGGATTGAACTCACCACCTCATACATGCTAGGCCAGCGCTCTACCGCTGACAGGCTCCTGATTTTATATGTAAGAATTTAAACTATTAGTAACATTAACTATTGAATCTATAGGAAGTAAATCTTACTGACTTTTCTTAAGCCATTAGCTAATATTAAATATTGTAATTTTTAAAAAGAAACCTATTCCTAAATTATGTAATTGAATATGCCCACTTTCCAATGTGAATGATAAGAGCATTATGCTATTTCATGTTCTTTTAGGGAGAAATTAAATGGTTTTCATAATGGTTAAATGATCTCAGAGATGTGTAGTCCATTATATTTTGAAAATTTGCCTTGTAGACAATTGCAAAAAAGTTCTAGGAGAGAATACCAAACCTAATTATGGTTGTCAAGTCACTATTCAGTCCGAACAAGAAAAGCAGTTAATGAAACAATATCGACGTGAAGAAAAACGAATTGCCAGACGAGAAAAAAAGACTGGAGAAGATGGAGAAGTTTCTGGAGAAGGACTTATGGGCTTTGATCCTAAGGAATTGCGGATACACAGGTAATCAAAGCAAGAATCTGAAAAACACATGTTTATAATCAGTACTTTTACATATTTTTCTAGTGTGATTTTAGCAATTTGGCAGATTCTTTTAGTCCCATTTTCTTGTAACAACGAGTTTCATTGAATAAAAATTTTCTGGGGAAAAAACAGTCATCTGCTAATTAGAATATTATTGGTTGCATTCACATCCATGAGAGATTTAGATTACAGAGGTAAGCTATTTTTAGTTGCTACACATATTCCAGTCAATGAAGTTATAGAAAACTTATTTACATTTATTTTGAGGGTTTTGTTTTCTTCCCAACTTAATTATACTTTTATTTGTGTGTATTGTTCTCTAGAAGTAGAAAGGAGGAAAATGAAATGAAGTCATTATTGCACTTGATGTTTTAATTATTGTAACTTTTCCAAAAAGGAATTTTTACCTTGAAAATATCTTCGAGTTGTGAAAATGCAAAACTATAAAGAATGAACAATAAGTCAGATTTACTAAATGGTATTTAAAAGTAGTAAATACAAAATGTGCTAAATCCTATTTGGTTACCCCCCAAATTTTTGAATTGCTGATATCTTTGTTTTTGTAGTTTAATTTTTTTCTTTATAATGGAATGCCACCAGAAGTAATTATTATAATGACCTTGCTTTCCTTTTCAAAATAAAAATGTCAAATTTGGCCTGCCATTTTTTGTATTTTCAGAGAGCAGGCACTTCTGAATGCTAGAAGTGTTCCAATTCTTAGCAGGCAGAGAGACATGGACATTGAAAAAATTCATTATCCCCATGTTTATGATTCCCAGGCTGAAGCCAGGAAAACATCAGCATTCATTGCTGGTGCAAAGGTATGTCACTGGTTTATAACAACAACTCTTGGAAATATGTTTGTTCTGAGGCAATGACACATAGCTTTCCCTGTTTCCTTTGTGAATACAGTGCAAGTTGATTAGTTTATGCTAAAATATTTTAAAATATTTAAAATAATAGGGTATATGAGATATTACAATCTGTATAAAGTTCTGACATATAGTAAGTATTCAGACAATATTTCTTCATTTCTCTTTCATTATTGTTGAAATTTATAATTTTGAGTATTATCAGTTATATCATTGCTTGACTAAGCTTTATACCATATATTGTATGCTATCCTACTTGTATGAGTACATTTGTCTTCAATGTAGTTAATGTATACGTTAAGATTCGTCAATGTACTGTGGCCTGTATGTCATATAAGATACTTGACATAATAATGGAGTGTGGTTTTTATTTATTTATTTTTCATTTAGGTTTGTTTTTCTTTAAATTAGCTAAATTTATTTGCCAGGACTGTGTCTTAAAACCAATAGCATTCTGTATTTCTCTCATTAAAAAATCTTTACCAGAGAAGTTCTTTTGTTTTTTTTTAATTCTGAATTGTTATTTTGATATTTATAGATGATTTTACCAGAAGGAATCCAAAGAGAGAATAACAAGCTTTATGAAGAAGTAAGGATTCCCTATAGTGAACCAATGCCAATTGGCTTAGAGGAGAAGCCAGTTTATATCCAAGACTTAGATGAGGTGAGATAAACCTTTTATAGAGTTGATATTTTTGAGGCTTGCTATGTACTATAAATGAACTTATATTGGAAAAAAATTATTTTTAAAAGTAGCTTCCTAATATAAATCAGAGACATAAATGGTTGATTACTAAAGAACACCAGGGAAGTTTAAATTTTTCAAAACCACGTATATATCCATTTGTTTGTATACTGAATATATATATATGTGTGTGTGTGTGTGTGTGTGTGTATTTATATTTAAAATATAATTTATTTTATTTAAAAAATAATTTCAAATAAAATTCAAAAAATAATATATTTAATATATTTAAAATATTTTAAATAAAATTCAAAATTATATATTTACATCTATCTATCAATCCATCTGTCTATGTTTTCATATTTATTTTTATTATTTTAGGTAATTTTTTTGGTTTAACCTATGTAAATTGACAATTAAAATATTTTAAAGGGTTTATGTATTTATTTATTTATCAAATGGTCACCCTAATATAAAATAAAATGCTTTTTCTGGGAGATGGGCCAAATTATAAAGTACTTTGTTTATCTTATTTCTCCACAACTTTTTAATTTTTGGTAAATTCAAACTAATGAAAATGTTGTTTGAGTATTAGTATTCATATATCCTTTACTTAGATTCATATTAAAGTTTTGCCATACTTACTCTTTCTCAAAATAAAATGTCATTTAGTTTAAAGTTTATATATTATTTGAAGTTTTTTTTTTTTATCATCAAAATGAAGCTGGGGGGTTTTTAAAAAAAATGTAAAACAATACATAGTCTTTCAGAAATAAAAATAATGCAGGTGAGCAAGATGTTTTAGTCAGTCTTTGCACTGCAGCAACCAAAAGATCTGACAACAACAATTTTAGAAGAACAAAAGTTTATCTTGGAGCTCACAGTTTAAGAGATCTCAGTCCATAAATGGCTGACTCCATTGCTTTGGGCTCTATGTCATGGCAGAAGGGTATTGAGGAAAGCAGCTCAGGACTTATAACTGGGAAGCAGAGAGAGCTTTTGGGGGATACCAGATATCTAAACCATAACATTCCGTGTGAGCCCACACACACTCATTCCCATTTCGCAATGCAAAAATACATTTAGTCCATTTTCAAGAGTCCCTATAGTCAGCAATTTTAGCATTTCCCAAAAGTCCACAGTCTCGTTTGAAACTTGTAGTACACTTTCAGCATGAGGCCCTGTAAAATTCAAAAGCAAGTTACATGTATCAAATATATAAAGGAACATAGTTGATGTACCACATGGTTGATGCCAGTGTCTGCTGCCATCTTGATCAGTAGCTAAGCCTTCTAGGACCATGGCTTCAACAGGCTTTGAGTGCCTGCCTAGTTGGCTGAGTGTAATAAAACAATTTCCTAGGCTACTCTGTGCAAGCAGGGTGGCCCACTGGTCTCTTCTTAAGGGAATTTTTACTTTTACACCATTAAGCCTGAGATAGGTATGGTCTTGCCAATTCCTGAGATTTCATCAAGACTTCTTTACTTGGGCTGGGGTTGTTACAGCTCAGTGGTAGAGTACTTGCCTAGCACATGTGAGGCACTGGGTTCCATCCTCAAAACTACATAAAAGTAAATAAAGTTATTTTAAAAAAGGCTTCTTTACTATTGTTTCTTGGTGAAGTATTTAGTGTTTCTATGATAGCTATAATATCTTTAGCCATACCTTCCTTTGCCCCAAGTTTACTTAAAACAGTTTTATGTCCAAACTAAGTTTTTTAAATCTTCCTGTTTCACTTTCTGATCCTAATTATCACAATAAATTTGGCTAGCTGCCAGCAATATCCATGCCACGACCTGAATGCTATGCTGCCTACAGATTTCTTCCACCAGATTAAAAAGTCCATCACCTTTAAATTCAGCCTTACAGAAAGTCTCAGGACACTGGCAAAATGTACACAACTTCATAGCCAGAACAGAATATGAATGGTCTCTAGTCTAATTTCCAATAAAGTCCTTCTGCTTGGAAACCTCATGAACCCTGTCTTGACTGTTCATACTCCTATTGGCATTCTAGTCTTCTGAGCTCACACAGAAACACCCATTAAGTTGTTGATAACATTCTCAAACTTTTCCAGCTTGCATCTCTAAACTTTTTAAAGTTGCTTCCACAAAATCTAAAAAGCTCCAAAAACTTCTGAACTGTTATGGGGAGACACCTCAGAAAGCACTCTAAGTCCGAATTCAAATCAAAAGAGAGTTTTATTTACCTGGCCAGCGACTGTCACCCACCGCAGAGACTCAAGCTCTGTAGGAAGACAGCAGCTTCCTTGTCTATCCAAAGAGAATATAAGCACAAAAACCACAACTCAGTGACTTGCTTATCGTCATGTAAGCTAGCCAGTCATTGAAATTAAAACATTAATAATCGGGACCTGTGGGCTCTATGCAGGACTGGAATTTTCCAGTCAGCAAGCAAGTGATAAACAGAAGCCAAAAATAGCATTAGCTTTGCAGTTCAGTTGACCACAGCCCTGGGTTCAACCAGGTGTTAGACAGTCACATCCTGAATATGGGCGGGGGTCACTGGGGCGAGAATCTTCTTCAAAGTCATGTAGACCCACAAGGGCATTCAAACCCAGGATGTAGCTCACCTCGACCACTCCTGCATCCTGAGTAGGGTACAATTTAAGGGGTACAAAGTACAGAAAGACACTTTTTAAAATAAGAAAACAGCTTTCATTTCAGTTTCTCAGAAACAGCTCTTGTAACAGTTTTTTATAGAAGACACCAAAATGGAGTCTTAGACCTGTCTATAAAAGTTCTTGCTTTATGATTGTCTTATCTCACTTATCAAAATCTTATATCTATAATCTATATTTTTTCCGTAACCTATAACTTACATTCTTATTGATTGTATTTATCAGTTCACACCTTAACAGAACCATATGGTCACATTAGTCACAAGGACCCTACTTCTCAGAACCAATTTCTTTTTTATTCACTTTTTTATTGCTGTGACCTAAAGATTTCACAAGAACAATGAGAGGAGGAAATGTTTATTTTGGGGTTCATGATTTCGGAAGTCTCTGTCCCTATATAGCCAACTCCATCGCTCTGAGTCTGAGGTGAGGCAGTAAATCATGGCAGATGAGTGTGGTGGAGGAAAGCAGCTCAGGACATGGAATTTGGAAGCAGAGAGCCCACTTTCTTCCCTAGGGACAATATAAACTCCAAAGTCATGCCCTCAGTGACTGACTTCCTCTAGCCACATCCTACCTGCCTACAATTACCATTCAGTAAATCTCTATCAAGGGATTTATGCACTAAGCATGTTAAAGCTCTTATAACTCAGTCATTACATTTCTAAACTTTCTTGAATTATCTCATATGAGCTTTTGGGGGCCACCTAATATCTAAACAATAACACCAAAGGAGCAAAATAAAGCAATACAAAAATATCCACAGAATAACAAACATAAATTGTATTCTTTATATATTTGTGTATATGTATTTGTTTTACAAAAAATGGAATTGCATCATTTTATGTGTGTGCAATTCATGTATATTATGTTTTTCAATGTCAGTAGACACATTGCATCAGTTTTTAAATCACACAATATTCCATTGAAGTCTTGTTATTTTTAAAACAATTCCTTATCATATTCAATGTTAAGCTATTTTCTACAGTAAGTTTTTATAACAGAATGAAATTCTAATTATGTCTTACATCAGTATTTTTTATGATGCATCAGAATTGCCTGTAAGCCACTCCCAAAGAACCAAAGGCCAAATGTTTTCTCTGATATGTGGATGCTAATTCATAATGGAGGGGGTGGAGAATAGAGGTATTTTGGACTAGAATGAGGGTAGTGAAGAGAGGAGATGGGGCGCAGGGGTAGAATGAATCAGACATCATTACCCTATGTGCATATATGATTACATGACCTGTGTAACTCTACATCATATACAACCAGGAAAATGAGAAATTATACTTAATTTATATATCATGTGTCAAAATACATTTTACTGTCATGTATAACTAATTAGGGAAGGTGCACTGGGGTAGGAAAGATGGTGGAATGAGATGAGCATCATTACCCTAGGTATATGTATGAAGACACAAGTGGTGTGACTCTACTTTGTGTACAACCAAAGAAATGAAAAATTGTGCTCCATTTGTGTACAATGAATTGAAATGCATTATGCTGTCATGTATAACAAATTAGAACAAATAAATAAATTGTTTAATTAAAAAAATTAGATGGGGTCTCTGGATTAATCCAGTTTCACTGAGTTGGTAGTTACAGAAGTAAAAGCAACAACAAAGACAGTTTATTGGCATTTCTAACTGAATTGTCTAGGAGTAAAGCTGCATGTGTGGCCATCTTGGCTACATCTAATGATGTCATTGGATCCATCATTGTCTCTTTTTCATTCTTTCTCTATTTTTCTTTATTTCTTTATTGTTTCTCTTTCCTTCCCTCTTACCTTTCTCTTGCTCATGTCCCTTTGTTTTCTCTTATTCTTTTCATCTCTGGATTCCCATATTTGCTTTCTCTATAAGGTGAGGGAAAAGTATATGTCAGAAGCTCAAACATATTTGTTTTCTCATACTTCAATCCCAGAAAGAAGAGTATTCCCACAAGTTCTGACAGGAAAAAAAGAAAGAAAAAATCTCTTGGGATTAAAGTTTTATTTTCCTGACACAGGATCACAGTTTATTTCCGAAACAATGCCTTTTTCTTTGGTGGGAGTGTGGGGCTCTTGCTGATAATTATGTGTATCCTTATTGTCAGCTTCCTCGAGCCACTAAGAGTGAAGGAGGAATTTTCCACAGCAAATGGGGATACTATTATTATCTACAGAAGAAAAAACACAAAATTTTTGAGTAGTTATATGACAATGGGGGAATATATATATTTAGTTTTAGTACCATGGATTTATTGATTAGAATCATAGCAAAATATTGCTTTTCTAGTGTCTTGAATAAATCACTCCAGAAGAAGGATCTAAAATAGTCTGTTGTTTCAAAGGCAG